GGGGGGGGGGGGGGGGTATCACACCTACCTATGGAGGAGGACGTCATCCTTGGAGCTGGCCCATCGGTCGCTCTCGCGCTCGAAGATGCCGTCGCACATTCTACACACACAACCACACAGACAAAACACGTGTGTGTCCATCTCTCCCTCTCCCCAGTGGTGACAGCCAAGTACTTACCTCTCCAGTGCTGTCTGCATGTTGTGCATGGCCTTGGCTCGCACATCGGGATCGTCGTGGACGTCAGCCTCAGCCAGGAGAAGGCTCATGACGTAGCTCGACAGCTGCGGCAGATCCAGGCTGTCCATCTCCCGCAATATGCACCCCTACACACACACACCCCGACACACACAGGGAGAGAGAGAGGGTAGAGGGTGTGCTGTGTCTGTCGTGGTGGTTTGTATCGGTGTGTTGTGTACCTGCAGCGTATCGATGACGTCAGGTGTGGCTTTGGTGAGGTAGGCGTGCCAGTACAGCAGGTCGACCGCGTCCCCTCCCCTCAGCTCGCCCTTATCAACCACAGCCTGCACACGCACAAGACATTGTGCGTGTCTGTGAGGTACGCACACGCATTTCTCCCGACCTGCCAGAGGTTGTCGACGAGCGGCGTCTGCCTGCACCTCTGCAGTGCCATCAGCCGGAGCGCTGTCAGGCACTCACCCACACTCAGGGAGGCACCTGTTGCAGCCACACGCCCAGCCACACACTTGTCTGTTGAGTGAGTGGCCCGGCCGGCCTTATACATACCTGTGGTGATGTGTTGGTTGAGTGCGTTGGCTATGGCCAGGCAGACGGGCTCGTGAAGGAGTCCCAACAGGGAATACACCTCGGCATACTCTGAAGATCACTCACACACACACACACACATCCATCCATCCATCCCCTCTTGATTGCTTCATCAGCCCCCACCGAGCAGCGTCGCCTTGGAACAGTGAAGGAGCTGCATCCAAGGCAAAGGCAACAAGTACAAGCTAGCGACAATTGCCGTCCGTCTAGTGTCACGGTGGATGTGTCTACCTGAGGAGTGAGCTGGTCGGAGAGGGCGGCGATGAGGTCCACATCACGATAGCCCTTCAGCCGACACGCCTGAATGCCGGACACCAAGGGCACACAGAAAGGTGGAAACAAAGAGAGAACGAGCGACAGACAGCCGCATCTCATCTCTGGATGCCACGGTGTTGCTGTGCTCTTGCCTCGAGCATGATGAAGAAGTCATCAAGAGTCCTCTCGGGCGAGGCGCGATCGACACCTGCATCCATCCACACATCAGACACATCTGCTGCGGTCATGTGCTGTGAGTAAACATGCACATGCCTGTAAGCGCCTTCCACAGGTCCTGGTCAACTGTCTTCTCCTCAACAAGCTGACGCAGCACCTGAACCACACACACCACAACACACCACACCACACCACACCACACACCCATGAATGTCAGTGTCATCCACATCTCTGCCTGCACTGCAGCATGTCTGTGGGTGCACCTGCTGCAGGGTGCCCGAGCTGAGCGTCGCCACCTCTCTCGCAATCCCCCGGACATCGCTCACAGCCTCGTCAGCCCCCCGATGCAGCGAGGACACATCCACTGCATAACGCGTCAGGGGCATCTCTGCCTGCTGCTGATCCATTGCACCAGCAGCGGCAGCGGCAGCGCCCTCCCCCTCCCCCGCTGCTTGCTGCATCTCTCCCTCTGCTGCTGCCGCTGCAGCGCCTTTCTTCTTTCTCTTTTTCTTGCCCGCCTTGCCGCCCTCAGCTGCTGCGGCTGCTGCTGCGGCATCGGTGCTGAATGCTCGGCGCGTGTGCGTGTGGATGTGGAAGGGAGGCGGGGTGGGATTTGGAAGAGAGAGGGACGGCCGATGCTGCTGGGTCAATGGAGGATGCAGCGATGACGACAGATGCAGGCAGGATGGCACCTGCCGAGTCAAGGGCACCACACGGGAAGGGCGCATGGAGATCTTTCAGCGACTCTCTTGCACGCTGAGCTCGCGTTTAAGGGCGATCCTCCGCGGGGCGACTTTTCCAAGGCCTTTTGCAGCCTGGCAGCGTCCCCTGTACATCATGAAGGATGCTACACCGTCCAGCGTCTCCGAACTTCTCAGCCATCCCACCCGCAAGGTCTCATCTCCCGCCTCATCTCGCGAGCGCAGCCGCTCTTCCTCAATGCTGATGCTGGTTCAACGGCTGGTGGTCTGTGTGTGGCTGTTGACCGTTCCTGCCGGCGGTCAGTTCGCTCGCCTCGGGAATCCCGGCTTCCGGACCAGCGGCGCCCGGTGAGCCGTGGAGGCCGTGTGGGGAGTGCTGAGCGGATCAGTAGTCTCTCTCTCTCTCTCTCTCTCTCTCTCTCCCTCTGTGTGTGTGTGTGTGTGTGTCTTCTCAGGTGTGGTACGGAGATCGTGCAGCCCAACGACAGGCGAGCAGGTGTGTGGGGCAAAAGTCGAAAGCGCAACCCCTCCCCTCTCTCTCAGTCTCTCTCACATCCCCATACTCACTGTGTTTGCTGGTTGGTGTGTGTGCATCGTCTGTCTGACCACCTGCCGCTGCCGCCCTGCCCTTCAGGGAAGGGTAACTACGTGGCCTGCCGCCCCAACCGCTTCGTGGACCCCTACTTCCTCGGCAGAAGGTGGCAGCAGAACTACATCAGCGACAACATCAGAGGCAAAGGCCAGGGCATCACCCAATCGGGCGCGGCACAGGGGCGCCCCGGACCTATCGGAGTGGTCAGAGGCGGCACAGGCGGCAAGGGAGGAGCGATGGGAGGGAGAGGCCGGCGGCTCGATGATGGCCTGCAGGGGCCACGCCATCTGCCGCCAGTGGGCCAGGGACGCACTCTTCGGGGTTGGTCTGTGGCCACACGGCCGCCGTGGGCAGCCAGAAGGCGCGCAGAGAGGGATAGAGGGGCAGGCACAGCTGAGAGTGAGGCTGTGGGGTGGGTGGGAGCGGTGCAGGGGTGGTGGGATGGCTTTGTGGCGGGTGTGGTGGATGTTGTGGCTTCATGATTGACGCTCTGGTGCTCTGATCGATGGATGGCTGCACCCATAGCTAACAGGCAGCCAGAAAGGGCAACAGTCTAGCCTACCCCGCTTTATCTGTGGCTGGGCTGTGTTCGCGGCGAAAGGCGGCCCTGGATGTTTGCCGTAGACACATCTGTCTGTCGTCTCGGTGTGTCTGCGTGTGATTGTACATATCGCAATACATCGCATTCCGCAATGGTGAGCCGCTTTGCGGCTCCCGATCGTGTTTTTTGCCGTGGCTTTGTATGGGTCGATTCGATGTGCGTGGGGATGTGCGTGGGCGTTTTTCGTCTGGACAGCTAGCGTTATGCGGTGCATTGTGTGGTGTTTGTGTATGTGCTTCGGAGCCTGATGTCGTTTTTCGCCGCCAGGCTGGGGATTGGTGGAATGGGGAACACTGACAGGGCTTTTATGTGTGTATGCATCTGTCTGTGCATCAAGACTCTCACACGCTTGCAAGGCGGCGTGCAGAAGGACATCCAACAACCGCCAAGCAAGTGTGTCATCGGCCCCCAGCTACAGGGGCCGATGCACTTGCGCGGCGGGAGCTCGATGACCTTCTCCGCTGCCGCCTCACACAGTCACACGCAAACACAGACACAGACCAGCAATAGAAGACTTGATCAAAACCATTTATCTTACACCACCGTGACGCCACCGACTGCCAACACGCACTCGAGCACTCTCGCAGAAAAATCAGGAGCATTGACACCCCGACGCTACGCACAGCCCGCCTTGCCAGCAAGAGAGAGATATCACGCTGTCATTATCTTTCCCTCTGCGGCGACCTGCTGCGTTCGTTTGACCGCCCCCGCGCCGCTATTGCCCCGCCTAGTGCACCTAGTCCCAATGCCGTGATGCCGACCGCCGCGACGCCGATGACGCCCACACCCACAGCCAGAGCAGTGTGCACCTGACGGACACAGAGAGGGAGGGAGAAGGGTGAGGGAGGTGAGACGCGGGGAGGAAGATGGTCGCATCTCTCTCTGCGTGTGTGTGGTAGTTAGTACCTGTGAGGACTGTGCTCGCCCGGTTTTGCAGTAATGAGCGAAGTGCTCGCAGTTGTTCTTGAGGAGGTGGTAGCTCGGGTACCACTGCTCGTGGAAGGCCGCCTCGGCACGCTCCACAGTCTTCTGAAAACACACACACACACACGCGGATGATAGATAATCAAGTCGCCCACCAACCACCTCGGATGGATCGACTTACACGCACCTTGTCGGCTGTCGGCTCGGCGTATCGTTTGACGCGCAGGTTGTAGCCGTACTTCATGAACTGGAGGACCGAAGTGCACCGCACCTTGGCCTTGCCCTTGCCCACGGCCGCTGAAAGCCCCTTGAGGCCGCCCATTGCCTCGTTGCCGCTGAAGTGGATCACACGGCCGTTGCCCACGTAGATGCCGTGATGCGTCGCCAGCTGCCTGCACACAGAACAGAAGACAGACGGGCATTAATTAGATCCCACACACAGACAGACAGAAAGGCGTGTGCCTGCCTGCCGGTGAGCCATACCCGCTGACATGTCCGTTGATCTCCCGAGCGATGTGGTCACCCGGCTTCAGGGGGATGGACGTGATCAGGGCCTGCTCCAGACGTGGCCGATCCTCGGCCTCAGCCGGCGCCAGCCAGGTCATGATAGTGCTGTCCCTGCTGATGACCACGGGCACGCCCGAGAGCGACCTCCTGAACTGCTCGGTCCAGTCCTGCTTGCGGTACTGCTGCACGCTCTCCCCACACAGCACGATGGCCGTGGGGTGACTGCTCGCAATGCGACACAGAACCAACCCTGAAAATTAACACACGAAAGCAGCAGAGTCAACAGTAGACAGGGTGTCTTTGCCTTCCTCCTGGCTTGTTCGTGGCTCTGCTTACCGATCGTGTCTTTGAGAGCCTTTCTAGGGTTCTGACCGCCCCTCAGCAGCCCAGGCTGCCTCGCCGGCGCCGCCTGCTGGTCCCGCAGCTTGTTGACGTCGACAAAGACGATGCGGTCGGTGAGCTGCCGGTCGTCCTCACACTCGTGATCCAACACCCAGGGCGCCATGGTGCCGCACGACGGGATGGCCGTGAGCGGCTCGTGATTGTCGATGACCACTGTGCCGTGGCAATCAAAGTCGTTGATGTGGTCATCGTTGGCTGGAGAGCCAGGAGAGGTGCTCCCCTCGGAACGCGCCTCTGTCATCTCCAGTCGGGGAGAACTGGACCGCACCGCGAGCTTGAGAAAACGGTTTCACGGAAGAAAAAAGCGGGACGGTCCCTCTGAGCTGTGAAATCGGTGCGACAGAAAGAAGGTGAGATCTGACGAGATAATAGATCACTGAGGAAGAGTGCTCATCTGTCACGCTCTGTCGTCTGTTACATGCAGTTTGACTCAAGCTGCTGTCGAAAATGGTGCGCAAGAAGACGAAGCCGCATGCCCGCGACGGTTCCGAGCAGCGGGGACCGCCGCTATTTCCCATCACTGCACCGTGCCGAGCAGCCGCACAACAACTCATCCACAAGCTGACTCCTGAGGCGGGCCAGCACGTGCAGACCCTTCTCGACAGCGATGCGGTGCTGCAACAAGTGGACGCCATCAAGAGGCTTACATCTCTATTGCTCGGACAACATGAAGGCTCGAAGGGCTCACCATCTGCCGATGATGAGCATGGCGTCGTGGAGGCGTTCGTGTCCTTTGCCTTTTACCTGGTGCTGCCCCTTCACAGCCACAGGCTGCGTCGGCACGTCACAGCTGTGTGGGCGACCCTGCGAGAAATGGAGGAGGGGCCTGACGCGCAGCTTGCAAGGGCGGCAATGGACCAAACAAGGCAGCTTCTTACCGACTTTGCTCGCGGGCTACAGGGGCACATCCTGGATGGGGCTGCGGCTGCTGTCATCCCTGAACACGCTTCGGAAGCCGCCGCACAGATCGACCTTTTTCTGACGCACACCGTTTTGTCCGACCTACTGCTTGCGACAGACGAGCAGATCGGCGCTGTGTGGACGTTCCTGGGGTCCCTCATCTACCGATACGCATCAGCACTGGAGGATGGTGGAGGTGGAGGGGTCGCTGCGGGTCTGCAGAGCCTGGCTGACGCGAGCGGTGCGTGTCAGGAGAGGGTCATGGTGGCCATGTTGGACCTCATGCACGACCACAGGGGGCTCGTGTATGTGGTGGAGAGGGAGAATGTGGTCAGTCAGCTGCAAGAGGCCCTCAACAAGATGCTCGGTGAGTGGGGGGGTGAGCAGACTAAACACACACGCACACACCCATGGATAACACTAAGGCTGCTTCTTCTGGATGGATTCGATCGCTCAGGTGTGGATCTGCTGCCCCGTGATCTGCTGGCCCAAGCCGGTCTCGCCTGTTCCATCCTGCAGGCCACGCGACACACCCTCAGCGCCCCTCGCTTCGCAGCCCACATCCGGTCCGCCATCCTCCCGACTCTCGCCCTCACCCCGGCCGTCCCCACCCCCACTTCAGCCACGCCACTGGGCCCAATGGGTCGCCTGGCCGTCGTGCGGGGCGCTATGGTCGCACTGCCCATGTGCTGGCAGCAGCAGCAGCAGCAGCAGCAGCAGGGGCAAGGGGCGGAGCTGCGTTTTGCCGAGTGGTGGACGTTGCAAGCGGAGCTGTTTGAAGCGATATGCCAGTACACGCGGTCCCCAGGGTGGCAGCTGCGCCACTTCGCCCTGCAGAGCCTGCAGGTGTGGCTGTCGTGTGTCGTGCTGCCGCCACCGAGTGAGGCGAGTGAAGACAGAGAGGAAGAAAGCCCGTCTCCGTCTGCGTCGGTCCGTCGGGTGATTGAGTTGCTGCTGGACTGTCTGGTCAGCCACTGGGACCATCCCCACAAGCCCACTCAGCAAGCATCGCGCAACATATGGGACGCCATGCTCAACAGCCGGCACCAGCTCGCCGCCCTCGCACAGCAGCAAGACAGCTCCCTCCTGCGGCTCATGTGCGAGCGGGTCATCCGTCTACCCTCTTCGTCTAAGAAGTCCCAGTACCTCGCTCTCTGCGCCCTGCTGCCGCATGTCGGACCCTCTCGGCTGCTCGAGTGGCTGCCGTCGCTCATTCCGCAATTGCTGGCTTCTCTGTCGGAACAGCCCGTCGCTGCAGCTGCCCGGCTGCTGCTGCAGAAGGTCATCTCGGGGCTGGTCAAGGCCGGTGAGCCACTTCATGTGGTCCTTCCCGTGCTGGCGGCCGCCTTGACAGCCGATGGTGGGGATGGCGATGAAGACAGGGCGGCTGTGGTGGCATCGTCTGTCGGCCCGCTGCTCGAGAAGCTAGACCCATCCGCCCTGGCACCTTTAGTCCGGTCCATTGTGGGCGAATCAACAGCGTGGAGCGTGCCCGAAGCGATTCTGCTGCAAGTTGCCAGGCGGGGAGGCGTGGCGACATGGCATCAACAGCAACACACCCAAGCAGCAGCATGGAGGCTGCGCGTCGAGGGGGCAGATGCACAAGGCGCCCCCGTCAGCTATGAGATCCCACTGGACCGTCTGTTGTGTGGCCTGCAAGGCGGGCAGGAGAGCCTCCGTCAGGCGCTGCTCGAACTGGCCGTCGCCGCCCCGGGAACCACAACGCCTTTCATCGTTCCTGAGGGGCTCATGCTGCGGCATACGGTGAGGCATTCTCTCAAGGCGTCGACGGCCGACGGCCGCGTGCAGTGCGGCAACGCGTTTCGGAAGGGCATGTGCCGCGCGAGGGACGGTGTGCGCAAGGCCATGGAGCGGATGAGCGAGCCAGAGCTGCGAGCCGCCATGAATGGGCATGCATCCTCGGGCACCGACCTCTCTGACCTCTCGACCACTCTCAGCCTGCTGGCGTCCCTCCACGAGCAGCTGCTGTCCTTCCTCTTCCCCGGCCAGCCATTCGACCGGTGTCACACCGCCCTAGACCTGCTGGCCATCCTCCATGACGTGTGGGGGCAGCAAGGAGGCGGCCTCACCGGCAGCCACAGCACCAGATATGGCCCGTGCAGCGCGGGCAACGTTATCGGCCTCTATTCTCATGAGGCCAAGGCGGTGTTGGTACGGTGTCTGTCGAGCACCTGGGAGCGGCAAAGGCAGGTGGCGCTGAAGCTGCTGGGGGGCTTTCCTTGCCCGCTTCCCATCCCGCCATTGAGGGAGGGGGTGGGGGTGGGTGGCGAGAGGGTGGTGGCTTGCTTTGTGGAGGAGTGCGTGCTGCTGCTGCAGAGCGTCAGGGGCAGGTGAGGACGCCAGGCGAAAGAGGAAACAAAGGGACACATGGAGCGTGTGATGTGAGTGGATGGATGTCGTCTTGTCGTTCTCTTCTCTCTCTTGCTGGTTGGTCGTAGGGACTATTCGGCCGGAGAGTGCCTCATGAAGCTTCTGTTCACCGCACTCTTCGCCAAATACGACACCACCGCTCCATCCGACTCCCTCCAAGCCCCCACCACCATCCCTTCATTCCCAGCAGACCTACTCCATCGTCCTCTCGACCAATGCTCGCCAGCGGACCTCTCCTGCATAAGACATGCGGTCCTCCAGGCCCTCCACACCTCCCTCGGTGTGCCGTCGCCACCACAAGCGCAGCTCACCAGCGGTCCCCCCGCCGTTGCCTTCCTATCATGCGTCGTCGAGGGCATCCGGCAAAGGCAAAGGCGGCTGTCGGCCAACAACGGCCCCAACGATACCATGGGCGACCCATCGCTGGCGCTTCACGGTCTTGTCAGAGCGCTCGGGGCGTGCCTTGGGTCGTTGCCGAGAGGAGGGGCTGCTGCTGCTGCTGACTGGCGGCCGTTGGTGAAGGGGATGGTGGAGGCGCTATTGGGCATGTGCGTGCAAGTCTTCTCCATCATTGCAGAAGGGGCCGATGCGCTTCTGCTGGCGGAGGGGTGGAGGCGGCGCGACCACACGGCAGACGAGACAGCCGCCCTGGCAGTGGTGCTGCCGACAGGTCAGGCAGGACACATGACACTCACATGTGCACGTGTGTGTGGATGACGATGGACGTCTCTCTCTGTGTGTGTCTGTGCTGTGTGTGGTCAGGTGCGTCTTTCCGCCCTGGAGTGATTGATTGCCGCGGCCACCCCATCATGACAAGACACGACGATACGGCGGCCGATGAAAGCGCGATCGACATGGTCAACGAGGAGAACGTGCTCGTGGTCGGGTCGTGGCTGAGCGTCAAGGAGGTCGGGGAGACACTCATGGCGCTGCTCGATTGGATGCCATTCTGTGATAGCGAGGGCGGGGGAGAAGAGGCCCGGCTGCTCACGCCCTCCGAGCTGGATGAACTGGGTCGGCAGCTGCTGACCCTCCTGGTGGCCGTGAGGCATCCCGGGGCGATGGACAGGCTCGCTGCGGCATGGACATCCCTGGCGCAGAAGCTCATGTGTTCGGGGTCGGTGGACCTCTGCCACCTGCCGTCAACATGGCTCGACACGTTGCTGAACCTGCTGCTGCCGCCCGCAAGATGGCACCACCAAGGCAGCAACGCCCCCACCTCCACACTCGACCCAGACGCATTCCTCCCGCCCCCACTGAGACGCTCACGCTCGCTGGGCCTCGCCTTCGTGGCCCTTCTGCGTGGCGAGCCGCCCTCACTCGGCAGCGTCCTTCTTCCCCGGGCCATGTCAGCCCTCCTGGAGATCACCTCAGGGAAGTTCGACGCGGAGTTCCCCGCCACTCTGCCGGACCGTCCGGCGGCCTGCCGTGTGCACGCCATCAACGCGCTGCGGGCGCTGCTGCTGAGCGGGTATCTCACCTCATCGACACGGGACTTCCTGGGCGGCTCGCTGGAGGCCGCCATGGAGGGCCTGCGGAGCGACAGCTGGCTGGTGCGGAATGCCAGCACCATGCTCTACGTGACGATCGTGAGGCGGCTGCTCAGTGCTGACAATGAGTCGATCGAGGTGTCGCCGAAGGGCTTCCTTTTCTGCTCGGGGGCGGAGTCGCGTGCCGGGCAGATGGCCGCCAAGACGCAGTGTGGGTCTCTTGAGGAGATACTGGGGCGGCAGCCACATCTACTGGACCTGTTGCTGGCGCACATGCACATGGACGGGGATGGGGGGGAGAGAGGCGACACCACCAACGGCACCGGCAGCGGTGGCAGCAGTGGCATCAGTGGCGAGTTGTTCGGCCTTGAGGTGCACGGCGGGCCGATGGCTGTCCTGCTGCTGCTCTCGCGAGGACCTCTGACCAGAGGACACACCGATCGCCAGCATGAAGACACAGCCGACGGCAGGGGCGACATGGATGTCGGCTCCATCATGAAGGCGACACAACGCTGTCTCTCATCCAAGGCGGCACACGTGCGCATACTGGCTGCCCGCGCACTGGCGAATTGGACGCTAGAGAGGCTGAGGAACGGGTCGGCGGAAGTTGCGGCAACAGAGCTGCTGAAGGCAGTGACGGATGCACTTGCGGTGCAATTGGGCGCCTCTGTGTCGTTCAACCATGTGCATGGGAGCGTCCACTCAGCGCTCGAGCTGCTCAGCCACCCGTCGGCACAACAGATCATTACTGACGCCCTCCGCGCTCCAACAGAGGCTCTAGAAGGCGCGATGCGATTATTGCTGGAGGCCTTACAGGCCCTGTGGAGCCGTCCGCTGCCCGTGCTCATACGGATGACAGCCCTGGACGTGCTTGACCGGCTCCTCTCTGCCATTGGGGCGAGCATGGAAGAGAGGAATGGAGGCTCCTCGGCACTCCTTTCTGAAGTGGCTGCACTAGCCAAGACCTCGGCTGAATCGGTTCTGGGAAAGGAGTCGCGGCCACCACTGCTGAGCTTCGGCCCTTCAAGCGAGGCTCCTCTAATGGTCTCCGCAAGTCGAGTCGGCCTGCATGCCGTACACGTGGTTGAGCTGCTGGAGACCCTTCAGAGTCCCTCGTGCTTGCCCGGCAGACAGGTTGCTGCCTTTCTCTCTCGGCTGGCGTCGCTGAATGCGCCCCCATCCGCACACGGGGAGGCGTTTCGACAGGCGCGGAAGCTCATGCGGGAGATTAACGTTAATGCACCGGCGAACGGGACTGTGGGGTGTGATGTGGCTGATGCGCTGACGGTGTGCTGCGTGGAGAGCCTGAAGAGCCAGAAGGGCGATACTGAGGTCGGCATACAGGCGTGCAAGCTGCTGACAGAGACCGTCATGGCAGCAGCTGGAGGAGGCCACGTCGGTGCCGATCAGCACCCTGCTGAGTGGATGAGGCTTCTGGTCGCATTCCAGGCACGACACCCGAGACACCCACGGGTCCTGAAAGCGGTGCTCCTGACGTCGGCCAGCATCCTGTTACACACAACCAACCCTGAAGCTGAAGCGAATGATCTCTGGGATCCCTTCAGCCAGTGGGTCCTTCGATGCAGCGATCCCAAGTCAGACATCGCTCTGCGCATGGCGGCAGTGGACGCAATCGGCCGACTGTCCGCCTGTATGCGCGAGAAGAAGGGAGCGTATCAATTGTGCGTGTGGCGGGCAGTGGTGGCGTTGCTGCAAGATGAGGTCCCTCATGTGCGGGATGCCATCAGCAGGGCATGCCGTGGAGCGCTGGAGGGGGTGGGCGGTGACGGCGCCGTCACGATGGTGTCTGGGACGTTCGAGCCGACATCGTGCCTGAGACTGATCATCACAAAAGTCATCCCGGTAAGACAAGCAGATCATATCGGTCATAGGAGACAGATCCCTGCAATGGTGTGATCGTGTGGTGCGCATCAGGCGTATCCGCGTGAGCTCACCGCCCCCCTCCATCGCGACCTATTCCTCAATGCCATGCAGGACTGTGAACAAGTGGCCAGTGAACGGCTCTCCATCCCTCCCAAGAAGTCCCAACTCCAAGCAAGCCAGCCATCAACCGGTCAGCAGCCCCTCCTCGCCCGTCGCGTGTTCGACGTTGAGCCGGCCAACCTGTTCACCGAGGAGTTGCTCATCTGCCAGCTGCTCGTCACCTTAGTCCCCCTCGACTCTCGTGATTGGGAGTGGCCCCCGTGGCTGCCAGAAGCTGCCACTATCATCGATCGGCTCGATGCGGCCATCCGGGTCGTGGGTGCGACCGAGCTTGAGGACCTATTGGGGTTCGCGACTCCCCAGACAGAGGGTGGTGGTGACGCTCGGCTGCGTGTGTTTGTAGACGTGTGTTCGAGCGAGGTCATTGCTCCCCCACTGGCCGGCCTGCTCATCGTGTGTGGCGTCGCGGGCTGCTGGCTGAAGGGGAGAGGGAAAGGTGAAAGTGGTGTTCGGTCAGACTGGTGTGACGCGTTTCGGGATTGGTGTGACGCGTTTCGGGATAGGCTGTCGAAACTGTGTCGATACGTGAATGGGTGTGATAGGAAGGTCTGCGTGTCGCAGCCAGCCATCGCTCGCTTGTGTGATGCCGTGTGTGGCGTGTGGGTTGATGGTGGAGATGATAAGGCGGTGCAGACGTTCAAGCAGTGTGCTGTGTTCCTGACCTAGCTCTCTCGTGCCGGCTGGCACACGTGTAAAATGCTGGCCGGATGCATCCTTGATGCTTGATCAGACAATGAAGGTCGTCGGTTCTTATGCACGCGCAAACACGCACGTAGGAAGCCATCCATCCATCCACTCATCCACTCATCCGGACATCCATGCGCCTATCTATATACGTCAGTCATGCCGTGCCATGCCATATCAGCCCTGCTCCACTCCAAGCCACCCAGCGGAGCATTCCCTTCGTTTCCTTCCGTCTTGTCTCTTGTTCTTCCTCACTCACTTCAGAACTCCTGGGTGTATCGTTCGTCGACCTCGTCCCATCCGTGAGCGATGGAGCAGTCCTTGCTGTCGAAACACTGCGGGCCGCCCTTGGGCGCGGGCGCACCAAAAATCTTCAGAGCGGTCGAGGCGGCGCTGGACTGACCTGCGCTCACAAAGACACACACACAGAGACATAATGGAATGCCCCGGCCGCCGTCTCCATTCATGCAGTAAGCAATCCATTCTGTCTCTTGTGTCATTCCTTGTGTGTGTCTTGCCTCTGAGCCCCGATTGGTTGTTCGGGGCGAGAGCATGCTTGTGAAACTTCCGGTAGACTCGGCCACGCTTGCCGCTTAGCCGCTGCCAGACGGCGTATGTTGCGAGGATCAGGTAGACCACAATGCCGATGTGCACGGGCCGGACCTTCATTCTTGTGTGTGATGGAGGGAGGAATGGGTGGGCGGGAATCGCGGCGGGGCTTCCTGGGACCTGCTGCAGACGTTGCAAGGGTGCAGAGAACGTGTCTTTGCAATATGCGATGGCGTTCTGACCTTCAGAGAGCGGTTTTGGGCTTCCTTTCAAGCCGAATTCTGAGACGCCCCCGCCCCTTGGTTCAGCCCCCAAGCGCCTCCCCGCCTCACGTCTCTGGTGCTCCAGTTCAACCAATTGTTCCGCCTTGTGGCACGGCTGCAGAGCCTACGCTGCAGAGTGAAGTCGGCGGTGCACGCGCTGCTGCCGAGCCGCAGGGTTCCCCAGACAGAAATAATGATAGCGGATCCTTTCCTCAAAAGGGCGAACGATGTGCTGGGGCGAGGAGGCCTGCCAGCCTCGGCCCTTCTGTCTGAGCCCATCATGTCCGTGCGGCCGTCCTGGGGTGACCTTTGATGCCCATTGCCTTGGTCCCTCTTGCTCTCGGAATCGTGATGATCACTGCTGCTGCTGCTGCTGCTGAAGTGACAACAACCAGCCCATCACCCTCTATGGCATCCCCGCCACATCTCACGCAGACAAACAAGTTCCCACCCACAACGGACCTGGCCGAGGCCGGTGGAAGGCCGACACTCACACGCGCTCTGCAAGTGAGCCCGGACAAGCGCATCACCCTGTTCAAAGGCCGTCACCAAATCTTCGGGCAGCGGTGCGGCAACGACACGCAGCGGCTCAACGACCGCCGTGGGGGCAAGGGAAACCTGTAAGCTAGGACAGGCAGACATATATGCCGATATCATGCCGCCGTCTGTCTGTCTGTGCAGATATTGGTGCAGCCCCCACCAGGCGAGAGGGCGGGCGGGGTTCAATCCCTCGGACGACCTTGTCAAGCACCAGGAAGAGGCAAGGGAGCGGATCAGGGAAAACAAGCAGAAGAACGAGAATAGCGGAGGGAATGGGTGGCATGGTCATGGTCATGGTGGCAGGAGGCGGCTGCGTTAGGTGGCTGGGACTGGGAGGGGTGCAAGGGGAAGGGCGGTGGCCCAGCGGCCAGCTGCATACAGTACCTGGTGGGTGTGATCGACCGACCGTGGTTAGTTTGGTTAGTCAGTGCTTTCTTGTGTGTGTGTGGG